TACACAAAGAAACAACAGTGTAACACAAGCATAATATATATAAAGAAAAAAATCTCACGGCTAACAATACGCTCTACCCACCCAACAGAGCAGGCGAAATGCCTGTTTTGCTCTCCACCATCTATCTCCACTACCACCCCCATTTTTCGTCCTTTCTCCTTCCTATTTTCTAGGAATGCTTCTTGGTCCACTTCACGCTTGAGTATACTGGCCTCCCAGTTGATTTTTCTAATTAAAAAGCATTGGAACTGAACATAATAGAAACAAACACACTTAGGAGAGGTGTAAAGACTGGTGGGTACCAAGTGAGACGTCTGCAGGGGATGACTGGGACCCCAGTGAAATAGCTTTTGCAAGCTGAGTTCAAGAGGGAGATTTGACATTGTGCAAGGATGAAAATGAGATTTCTACAAGTGGAGTTTTTCTTCTAGAGAAATGATACCAGTAGATATAATTCTATGGTTCTCTGAATTTCTCCTTCAATTGCTGAAAGTACAGTGCTTGGGTCAGATATCCTTATCTCAAGGACTGGCAAAGCCAACTTCCAATTCTACTCTTCAGCTTCCTCTTTGTAACTCTGTGGGGGAAAAAATCTGTTCACACCATAGATTATTCCCTATAGAAAAGAAGATTGGCAAAACCCAATGGACTATTAGCCCATTTATTGTAGCACAAGCTCTTGTGGATCAGAAGTTGGTAGAAAGGAAATCTGGGTTGGACTCCTGCAGAAGTAAGTACCATGTATTGGTCTTCAGCCTTGGTCTTGAAAAGAGATGCTTGCCTGACCAAGCTGAGGCACAATTTACCGAGGCACAAGCGCACAGTAGGGGTGAATGCAAGAAGCTGGAAAATTTGGCATGAGAATTGGAAAATTGTGAAGAAAACATCTTGAAAAGTTTTTCAGTTCCTGGTTCCCAAGCCAGAACTGCTCTGTGAAATGCAGAGAAAGGCATTCCCTGGATTCAGAGAGGCACTTTCAGTGAATTCCTGCTGGCTTACAAAAACTATGGCTGGCGAACAGACTGGCAGCAACTGTTCTGGACCCATGGTTACACTAACCACATTATGCTAATGTATAACAGTGGTTAAGAGAATCCCTAAACAGTTTTGCAGGGCTTGGAGGGCCACTGGGCGAGACACCCTCAATTCCTTCCATGGGTCTACTTTCTCACTGCCATTGTAACCAGCTGCTATTGCCCTTCTTCCTTTTGCTGTATAACTGCCGCCATCTGCTTGCTAGGCAGAGAGCTAGAGAGCCAGTAGGCAGTGGCATCTTCTGCTCTTCCTTCCCTGGTGCCAGACACCCAAAACAGCTGCTTGGGAAGGCTGTGAAACTCTCTGGTGTGCATTTTCAGGGAGCATGTATTGCATGCTCCCTGAGGCTTTGTCACGATGGGGGCAGCATAAAAATGTTTTAAATAAATAATAAAATGTATGGTGACTTCTCTCCAAAGTCAACATAACCGAAGCCACTCCAGAATGAACTTTCACTATTACCTCGTGCTTCAGACAATGTAGGTGCCTGCAGCCTTATGTCTCCAAATGGTGTATTTTGCTTTCAATACTTTAAGTACTGTAAGAGATGGGGAGGGAAGGTGGTTTGTAAGCTTAGGATGTGTTTTACGATGGGCTGGAATTACTGTGCTTTGAGGGACATCAGAAATGGAACCATGGGATGGCCATTCTTTCACACTTCACTATGAAACAACCCTAAACTGCTTTTCAAGCATCATCATTTACTCATCATGTTTCTGGTGAAGACACACTGAACTTCAAATGACCACAGAAGCATTCTTCTCTCTGGAACAATAAGGCTGTAATCCTTTAGACATGGACCTGCCAATGGGCCCTACTGGAAACAATGAGCCTGCCTCTGAGAAGAACTGTTTCAGATTGCACTGTTAAGCTTCAATGTGGAGTCTGGACCAAGTGTCATTCCTGGATCTGCTTCAAAGCCACTAATGAAGCCCTGAAATTAATAGATCACATATACAGCCCAGAGAATGCAGAAAGTGAATCTTTGTTTTACTCAGTTATCTAAAATGAAGGATGTGAACTGGCTTCTTAATGCCAGTGCTTAGACAATAAGACCTTCATTTACTTGTTATCACGTTAATCCTTAATCCTATTGGATGTATGCCCTGGGTCTCCTTTCACAACACTAAAGTCTTGATTAAGTTGTATTCAGCACACTCTTTCTTCTACTTAAACAGCTTTATTGATTTCACTGTAAGGTTCCTCTCCATTGTCGCAATGGCTTGTTAATTAACTAATTTCAGAAGCACTGGCTGCTATTCTCTCCTTGTGTTCTTCTAAAATTAGTATAATGTATAACTACATTTACACCTACATAGATAGTATACCACGGTTCACATCAAGCGAATTACTTCTTAAGGACATCCACAGAGGGAGAAAAAGAACTACATTTGTAGGAACATGCAGGTCCTCTGGTCTCAAATATTTATGCAAGGGTAAGGGCCAACTGGTTTGTTCAAGGCCTAGATCATTTTGTTATCACTATTTAAATGTGGTACAATTACAGTTCTGCAAATGTTTAAGAAAAGAGGCAAGTAAGGAATCATCATAACAAAAGTGGCCCTATCACTAATCATGAAGTTGGTATGATCTAGATTTGGGTGTGAGCAGAAAAGGAACCATAACTGATCACAGTTTCTTCTCAAGCCACCTCTGTGGTACAAAATGTGGCTCATGGAACACATGTAGCCTGCCAAACCATTTCTTGTAGGGAACATCTGCCATATGGACACCACTGCCTGGAGTACCACATCCAATAGCAAGCAAGGAGTACCACATTCAAGTGCAAGCAAGGAGATCCCTTCCTTAATCCTGATCTGTAACGTACCTCTGTTTTATATTGCACCTGGAGAGCTTACAACATACAGTTTTTTGCAAGATCCTTCCTAAGATTTGCAAGACAAAATACAGATTAAGTTTCTTCAGAAGAAACTCTGGAAAGGATTATGTTTGTAAAAGTGCAGTTTGCTTTCCAAACTGATGGACTGCAAAGGTTAAAGAGGTTAGCAAGGCTGCTGCTCAAGCTCAGGCAAATGTATGGTAATTCTTTACATTTTTTAGGCTGATCCACTATGCTGTCATAAGTAAGGAGGGTGAGTAATGTACTTCTTCACACATGAAAGGACTGCAGAAAACATCTTAATTTTCAGAAAGCAATCATTTCCATAGTACAGTACCAGAGAGGAATTTCAGAAATCCTCTTTTAATTCACAATTCTGATTTAAACAGTTGCATATATTGAAGTGGTTTTTCTAGGTTTCAGTGAATGATGTATCAAAGATTTCTAACAGCATGATGCCAAGTGACAACAAAGACCGGTAGCTCAGACTCTCAGATTGCTTCTGCACTGCCTCTTACAGTGATGAGAAAGAAAGGAGGGTTTACGAGGTATGTGCACATTATTTCCTCTCTCCTCTCTTTTTCTAGTTTTCTGAGGCAAAGGCATCTCTTAGCTACAGGCCTCTAATTTCACCATTGGCCTGGCTACTCCTCCACTATGAATGGTGCTAGTGATGCTGATAGTAGTAATTTGCTGCATAGTTGGAAATGTTCAGCTCTTAAGGAAAAGAGCATGGAGCAATTGTCCTATACACAACTGACCAGTTAAATATATAGTTTGACCATTACATAGGATGCTTAAAACAAGCGAAGAAAAAAGGCTGCAAACACTACCAAAAGCTTTCCCAAAACTGGGACAGTGGGCATTAAAATGTTAAATGCAGTTCAATGTAAGCAAGTTTAAAGTGATACTTGTTAGGGCAAAATACTCTGATTTCACATATAGACTAATGGAATCGAAGCAGTGACTGAAAAACAGATCTTTGAGTTGCAGTAGAGGGCTTAATGAAAGGTATAATCCACTGTGTGGCTTGTGTGAAAAAGTTATATTCCATGTTGGGTATGTATAATTATAAAAGCAAAAAAGGGAATTTGCCAATATCATACTGCCCATATACAGAGATTTGGAATTCTGTGTACATTTCTGATCACCATACCATAAGAAGCACATTGCAGACATGGAAAGGGGGAAGAAAAACACAACTAAAGATACCACGGGGCTGCAGCAACTCCCCATAAGGTAAGGTTACAAAATATAGACTACTTGGCCTAGAAAACAAGTCACTTATAGGGAAACATGATAGATATAACCAAAATCATACATGGTGCGGAGAAAGTGTATAGGGAGAAAAACCTCACTCATCCAGGGCTATCTAATGAGGCTCATTTGGTGGAAGATTCAAGACAGAGAGAAGAAAATCAGTCTTCACAGAGTATATAATTAAACAACAGTACTCATGAGCACAAGATGTAGTGCTAGCCATCCACTTGAATGGCTTTAAAAGAAAATTAGACAAGTTCATAGAGCATAAGGTGATTAATAACTACTAGTGACGATGCTGTAAGATAGTTCCCGTATCAGAAGAAATAGGTCTACAAATACCGCCTGCTGGGGAACACAATTGAAAGGATGCTACTGCTTCCATGCAGTTCTTGTGGACTCAGCTGGTGGGGCCCACTGTGTGAACAGAATGCTGGACCAGGTAGGCTTTTGGTCTGATATTATATATATTGATGACAATCGTGAAAAGAATAAATAGCTTTCCTGCTATCAGCTGTGGAAAATCCTTGCATTCACATCAAATCTTCCTCAGTTACTTCTCCACTAGTGTTGCCTTAAGTCTGAGAGCTCGATATACTCTTTTGGCAATGTGTTGAGGAGGCAAACATATGCTTTTTAACAGAAGAATGAGTAGAAGAATTACTGACAGCAGGAAAGTGTGTGACATGGTGGAGGATATTGGTTGAGAAGTCAGTAAGCAGAGAGGATGGAACACGGGAGCCAACCATTGTTAATGCTGGAGAGGGGCTCTGATACCATTGCCTATGCCTTCTCTGTGAAATAATCTATTTTGAGAAAAATAAAAGTAATGCCAAAACTTCTAAAGATCTGCCATATTCTTTACCTGTTCCTGTTGCTGGAAATCCAGTCTGAGATTAGAGTTGCAGCTTGCTGATGGCAGTGCTTATTACCAAAGCTGCAAGCCAGCATAATCACTTCACGGCGTAACTCCCTGGGTATCCCAAAACACAAACAAAAATAGCATTAGGCTCATGTTAATAAATACGTTCAAAATCTCAGATGGAAATATGTAATTGCTTACAAGATCTGAACTAATATTTAACAAAGGCAAACAAATTAACAATACTTTAACAGTAGATGTTAAAATGACAAATTGGCTAATAAGGAATTGCATTTAAATTGCTATAAAGCCTCTCAGTTATGAGCATGCAAATGGGGACGCTTCAGGAGTTTCCTCCCTAAATTAGAAGGAAAATATTCTTCCCAGAGCCTAAAAAGGGACAAGGCTTCAATAGGAATTCAGAAAACAAAGGGCACAAGCCAACCAACATTTAACAAAATTAAATTCCACTAATTTCAACAAGACCAGTAAAAATGTGCTGAACTCTCCTTCTCGGTCTCATAATATTCAGTGAAACTTGGCTAGTTCATGCCCAAATTAAGCAGATGATAGAAATGAAAAGTCATACTTCTGAAGCCCATATCAGTTTATGAGTAATTATTTGCAGCAATAAAAATATAACAGTACTCATGTTGGTAGGAAGCTTGGACAAAGGATTTTTCCAAATTATTTGCTGGCCATCCAAGCTTAAGATACATTGAAGCAACTTGTCTTAAAATATAGTCCTGAAATAGAGAAGAAGAAAAACTGCATCAGATACTGCCATATTTAAAATTAGTAGATTCCATCTAGTTCAAATATATTTTTAAAATGGGCATATTTATTTACATAGTAGCCAAACAGTATCTGGTACTGGTGGGAGAATTTTAAGCAAATACAAGAGAAGCAAGCTTAAATCCTTCCTCTTGAATCCCCACAACCTGACCTGAATTGGGTCCACACAAGCCTACAGGAGCCATTTATGCTGAATTCTGCTGTGCATGATTAGCCAGCTGTTTAGTTTGACCCTAACAGAAGTACAAAGAGGAAAAATCTGATTTTGTGATGGCCAGGACTGTGGGCTCCCTGCTCTCAATGCCATTTGAGACACATGTTGCCAAAGGCTGGTCACCCCCACTTCTGTACTACTTCAGATGGTCTCCCAGACTTCCAGAGCATATTTTCAGAGGGAGAAGGGTGTTTTAGGAAGCAGTGTAAAATTGCATCCCTGTTATGCCAGCAAGATTATTCCACACATTTCAGATAATGCTATAGCATTATCTGCAGGGAGAGCACAACCAGGGTAAACACTTTTAGGTCTTAATGACTTCCACATGGGATACGTAAGCATGTGCTCAAACATCCTTCTGAAATTATGGGGCATAAAAGTACTTAACATTAGCAGGCGTTAGACTTGTGTTTTAAACGTGCAATGTATACTTGACAAAAGTATGAAAAGCTACTGGCACTTTGATGGACTAGTATTTACCTTGGCAGGCTACTCTTGACTTGAAAATGCATGTTTGAGTAATGTCCATCATTAAACATTTAAAGTGACACATTTAGGCCACACATAGAGAGGAATATGGCAAAACCATTACACAGGCTCAGCCAATTGATGTAATAATATTGAATAATGTGAACAGCATTATCAAGATTGGACAATTTAATGAGATCTGTATTTCCATGTCCTTTTAGATGTTGGCATTAAAAGTATATGCAATATAACAAGTTTTCCACTTTGGACCCTTACACAAAGCAACTATCTAAGTTGTAAAATATGCTTCTGTCATCATAGTCATATCAGAATTTACTGACTGCCTGTGTTTTGAGGTGAAATATAAATGCAACTATAAAAAATGTATTTCACATATTAGCACACTATAAGAGTGAATAACTTTATTTACATGGCAACATATTCAGTTACATGTTATGACAGGATGAAAGGAGATACATAATATCCCTTCCTGTGGCAGTTAAATTATTCCTGTGACAAAAATGAATTTCTAATATCTTTGTTGTCAGCTCCTGCATGATAAAGAAGAACCATCCAGTAATATTTTTGCTATTCTTATTTATTAAAATTGCATATATATTTTTAACAGTCAGACTAAACAGGAATCAGCAATGGATACATTATACTGATTCTTCAGGGTAGGCAAGAGCAAGCTGGCAATTCAGTTTTCCATTTAATTCGGCATTACAAGCCAGGAAAGGAAGCTTGTACTGCACAGATTCTGTCTGTTGGAAACCCTGAGGACAAAGGAACTGAGGGGAGTGAGTGAAGACATTAATACAGGATGGGGCTGCACCAACTCCTTGCCTTCCTCATTCAATTGTCCCGTGTTTACTCTGGGTGGAAGAGGTCTTTGAGAAAGAAAGGAAGAAGCTCAAAATGCATGAGCTAGGTTCCAAGAAATGATTATTGTACTGGGCCTCTGTAATACATCGGTGTATTTTCTGCCCTTTGCTTTAGGCTGTATTTCAGTCTGGCCCATGTTTTGTTTTGTTTTTTTTAACAGATGTATCACCACTTCAAGATGCCAGCACAGTACTCTATCTGGGGTTAACGTGTACTTGTCTGATCATGTAGAACACCCCAAAGCAAATTAAAGACTCTTACTGGCAAAGACAAAAATGTCTTAGTGGTTTACAACAAAAAAGAAATATACAGATATATGTCTTTACATTGAAGATGTTGTAGTTTTCTGTGCGGTCCAGCAACTTATCTAGAGGATAAAGAGCTCGGCTAGCAGCATGCCAGGGCAGAAATTCCTTTTCCTTGGACAGATATTTGATAACCTCTAAGGGAATGTTCTGAGGTAAATAGCCAGCTCTGTAGAATCAAAGAAGTAATTGTTAATTATTATTTGGAAAAATGGTCCCTGATTATGCTAACCAAGATAGAATATTCTATGAGTACATATATGGGAGAAGCATGATCATTTCATCATATTATGTAATTATGCAAGTATTATTTCCAACAGCTTTTATATACTGAATTCCTTTAAAATGACCCTATATACCATTGTAACTTCCAGAAGTTTAAATGAATGTGAACATTTATAAAATTTTGTCAGAGATATAGAATTATTTCATTGTAAGAACTTTCAAAAAGCCTGACAACAGCAATGCATCAGTTACACGATTTTACATTTCTTTACATTCAAGAATATTATATTATAGGGTCCCAAGACAGCATACAACAAAACTAATAAAATTATAACAAAATTTAACACCAAGATTAACAGTTAAAGTCAGGCAGCAGTATATACAGAACTGTCCCTGTCAGATCCAACTCAGCTATATGCCAAGTTAATAGGCGAATCTTTAGGTCCTGTAGCCTGCAAAGATGGAGCAATTGCAAGAAATTAACTCTAGAGAAGCCTTTTTAACAAAAAAAAAAAAAATCACTGTTTTTTGGAGACTCTTGCTTTGCCAAATCTTTATTAAGCCATCTTGAGAAGACATAGGCCACTTTCAGATATTGCTCCACAGTTTATAAATGATGCCTTATTAAGCCATGGATGAGTACCAAAATCTTACTTGAATTAAACCAAACCAGGAAACTCTAGCTTCATTATGGTCTTAAGAAGCCAGGATAATAAATCAGGATCTGATCCTGGCTTATAATCCTGATTTGTTAATCAATATTAAGCCAGAGTTCTCCAGTTCTGATGTTACAGAGAACTCTGTTTGAATACTGTCCAAGGTCTCTTTGCACATAACAGCATTCAATGGAAGTAAGGAAGGGAAGGGAAGGGAAGGGAAGGGAAGGGAAGGGAAGGGAAACAGAAAGGGGGAGGAACATGTGACCACACCACTCATCCACATCATACACTATGCTTTATGACATTTTGTACAAAGAGATAGACACAAAAGACATGTTAACTGAAGCAATCAAAGACACATGATTAGTCTCCAATAGAATTGTGCGCGCGCGCGTGTGTGTGGGTGTGTGAGAGGGAGGGAGGGAGGGAATTTATTTTATTCTTTGAAGGTAAAAAGAATTTATTTACCATGTAAACATTTTCAAAAATTTATAATCAAATTATTAAACTCTTCAATCATTACACTGTGAATATTTTGGTGCTCTTTAAAATATAGTGGTGGATCCGTTATTTTAAAACCTGCAATCTTCAATATTTTTGCACATTTATTTTTTGAATTGAAAGATGATTTTTCATGTTTCTTCAAAGTAACTGCAGACTGAACTTATTGGGCAGGAATGGCTGTTTCCATGGAATATATTAAAACATTAGAATATAATTTATCTAGTACTAAGTTATCAAGTCAAATACTTCTTTTTCCTAACTCTATATTGTAGTGAGAGAAACAAAGAAAAGGAAACTTGTGCTCATCAATCATAATTCTTATAAACTGTATTTTATACTAGAAGTTTTCAACCCAAATAGATGCCATATTTTCAATGGACAAACAACATTAGTCAATGCCTAGAAGAACAGCTCTACTGATGAAAAGATTCTATCAAGAGGTTTTTTTTACTCCCACTGCTTATCTCTTGGGTAGTGCTGACACTACATGGATGTGTAGAAGGGTAAAGTAAATTGCTGATCAGACATGACACCTTCCTTGCTTCGGATATTTGTTTGTTTATTTGTTTTTCGGCGCCAGGTGAAGACCTTTTTATTTAAGCAGCATTTTAATTGTTAATATTATTGGATTTTATCTGGCCAGGGCGGCCTATTTTATATTGGTATTTTTGCATTTTAACTTACTGTTTGTATTTTTTAATTTAATGTTATAATTATTTTTTAACTTAACGTTGTAAGCCGCCCCGAGGCTTCGGCGAATGGGGCGGCATAAAAATGTTTTAATAAATAAATAAATAAATAAATAAATAAATAAATAAAATATGCTGTTAGAACATCAACCACTATGTGATTAATAGTCAGAATTCTGCAATATGTAAAATTCTTTATGGAAGAAGGATTGGCAAAGCACGTCGACAGATGCTTCTTAATGTTCTGCGCAAGGTTCAACCCCTTTTTCTGATGTTTTACCTACAAGAATTGTGCACGTGCCCTTTCAAGATTGCCATGCTAGCGCTCAGTGTTTTTATATTTATAAAAAGGAGGTGCAGTCCCATCTGTCAGCGGTATTGTGACTCCTTCAGAAGGAGCCAACCTGAAGAAGTTTAAATCAAACTTCTCCATTAAACTTCTTGTTAGCTGACAAATAACACAACACCTCATGGCTTAGCATTCCAAACTGGTTGACATAGAAATGAATTGCAAAATTGCTGGAGCTTTCATTGAGTCAGCTAAAGACTGCACATCTAATTTGGAAGGCGGCTTTTGTGTCTTGCGCAGCTGCATTCTGACCTTGGATTGTTCTCTTACACTGAACCCACAGATAGATCCCAACACATTCCTTTCCCACTTAGGGACAAAGTACCAAATGGTAGGGTAATTGCCAAGGGAAAATTATTACTCCATTCTGAATTATTTTCTTCATAAATTCCGCACTAGTCAAACCAATTCTATCACAAAAACAACAGGGATGCGGTAGAGCGCTGCAAGTCCTAGGAACAAGTGCACCGTAAATCTGTGAGCCCACTGCTCACCAGAGCCATTCTGAGTTGTGTTTAAATCAAAATTAGAAAACCCAAGCCGGCCACAAACTGGCTGACACTGTTGAAACAATGGAAATGAGGTGATTTAGTTTCCACAGCTCTAAAAACCACTCTGCATCATCTGTTTCAGATGGAATGTCTAGAACGTGACTAGCCTATTACCGCTCAGATAGCTTCTAAATGGGTGGGAGATATCAACTTATACTTTTCTCACATAGATCTGCAATGGGATTGTTTTATGTCTGCTGCTTGGCTTCTCTGCATGTCATGATATGCAAGGATAATATGAAGCATAATATTCCATAATATTAGGTTTTTTTCACCCCCTGTAGTTTGAAAATAAAAAAGGAAAGGGTAAGGCTAATTTTAGTGTAATATATGCAACTCCATATCTCACACTGGGTACAGTATGAAAGGAAGGGTGCTACATTTCACTCTAATGAGCCCAGTGTTATACACAAGTGTTTTTATTCCTCTATAAAAGATCATCACCAAACAATGGTGAGAAAAGTAAGATCTAGGCCAATTAAAAGCAGATGTTTCTTGGATTCCTATTAAAGCTATAGGAATCAAAGATGAAACTCAAATACTCTGGCCAAATAATGAGAAGGAAGGACTCACTGGAGAAGAGTCTAATGCTGGGAATAATTGATGGCAAGAGAAGAAGGGGATGGCAGAGAATGAGGTGGCTAGATGGAGTCACTGATGAATCGGTCAGTGTGAGCTTAAGTAGACTCTGGGTGATGGTGGAGGACAGGAAGGGCTGGAGGAATGCTGTCCATGGGGTCACGATAGGTAGGACATGACTTCGCGACTAACAACAACAACAAAAGCTATAGGAGCAATCTGGAGGCCAGTCTTCTCAAACATGGTACCCTGAAGATTAGGTGTACTGACTCTGAATGATGGGAGCTGTAGTCCAACACCATGTTGAGGAAAGCTGGCCAGAAACCCTAAAAGGCAGCAATGAAATCTGATTTTAAAATATTTGCATAATCAGAATCTCTAATATAGGCAAGTTTGGTATGGATGGTCAAGATTAAAGTTTGCTATGTTTCCTTTCTGAATACATTTCTGAAAAGGACCCACTGTCTCTTTCTTTGCATTGTAAGTTTGTATGTTGCCACTTCTTGCTTCAGAAGTGAACTAGACTGTAGCTTGGATAATATTTAAAAAGGTCTTTCCCTACAACACACTAGGTTGATTTGTCACAGAGAACTGTCTCCACTGCAACCCCTCTCGCTAATTTACAACTCCTTCTCCAATAAAGAACCCTCCAGATGTTTTGGACTACAGCTTATTGGAACTCCAGACCATTAGCCATGTCGGAAGTTGAAGTCCAGTACATTTGGGAGCCACCAGGTTGGGCAAAGCTTATCTTCTATTTTGCCCAGAATTTCTTTTGTGACAGAAGGATGTCAATAAATTGTGTACAGTTTCAGTACTGTACAATATCCTTAACACATGAAAATATAAACATTTTAAACAAAACGACATCACCAATTCACCAGGTTATTGAACTAGATTTCTTGTCAGGTTTTATTCAGCTTTGGCAAACTGATGCCAAAAGGAAGGCTGTCCTGGTTGCTCTTCCTTCACTATTAAGGAATCACTACCATCCCTTGCACATTTGGGATCAGGAAAAGTGCCTTCTAAATCGGTTTCCAAACAGGCTGCAACAGCAGTATCTTTAATGCTTGCAATTAAGTGTTGATGCTGCTTTAATCTATTTTGACTTTTTGGAAAAAACATATTCTCCTAGATCTTTCTTTCCTTTTTTTCTTTTTAATGCATGCAGCATTTGTAGCAAAGTTTTTGTTTTGTTTTGTGAACAAGGATATGATCTGTGTAGAAAGTTTCCAGTGTACTGTATATGTCACACTGACTTTACACTTCTGCTGTACAATAAACCAAAAATCTAATAGTACCATAGTGTGGGCATTCTGTAGACTTGTGGTATTCATCACTGTAGAGAGAATGAGGTTTCTGCCTACAGAAATGCATGAGGTCAATGCTTGTGATGTGAATTGTACTGCCAAACAAGAGAACACTAAATATTATCTATATTTAAATGTACATCAGGACCCCTGTATCCCTTAGATTGGTTCCAAGCCCCCCAGTGGATGCCAGAAACCACAGCTAACAGTGAGCACTATATTATAAATACTATAGACATTTGTTTTTTCACAATTTAGTTTATTTTTACATCAGCATACATTTTTATTTCTCTATTAAATCAA